GGGTTTAGGGTTTAGGGTCCCCTAGACCCTAAACCCTAAACCGTAAGCAGGGGTTTAGGGTTTAGGGTCCACAGAGGACCGAGAAGGGGCTTCATAAGGCTGTTCAGACAGGTTTCAAAACCCAACCCACCAGGATTCTGAATACGTATTATTAAGAATATACCGCAAAACCCTATTCTAAAGGCCACTACACCCTAAACCCTTATAGTATCCCTCAAAAGGAACCCCCCCTAAACCCTATTCTAATCACTGCGGCCCCTGTATTAATCCCGTGCATCTGTATCCCCAAAGCCTAAACCTCTCCAGGACCCGAGATCCAGCCACGGGACCGTCCACTCCATCCATGAGTGGGTTGTCCTGGTTCGGGGTGGACGTGATCGCCAGCTTCCTTGGTTCGGGGCTGTCTTTTAGGGCCTTTATTTTCGAGCGCAGAGGCTAAGGGTTTAGGGTATAGGGTGTCTAGGTTGCCTCAGGTCTGTGGGGCTTGAGCTGGCATTTGAGGTTGTAGGTTGGAGGGTCTGCAGCTTGAGTATGCTTGGGTGTCAAGCTGGTTCCAATGTCTCGAGATGAACGGTCCCATGGACAACGAACCCTGCAATACCAGGAATAATCTTCTACAGCATCCGAGCATCACAGAGGGATCTGAGAGCCTTCTTTGACAACAAGTCGCCTTGGTGCTTAAGGCTCGTCTTAAGGCCTTTGTTGCGCTTGACATTGTTTGGCATAGCCATTCAGGACAACTCTAGGAGTGGTGGCGCGCATATCTAACAAGCAACTACGTATCAAGGCTCTCAAACCCCAGAAAGCTAAAACTCGCAACCGTGGCAGCCATGAGCCCTTAGCCTTAGACCCAAAACACATCAAACGACTGAGAACTCTAAACTCGGATGTTGTCGGGTCGGGGGAGGAAGGCGTCCTAGACTCCAGGTGAACAGGTGAGGTCTATAGTCAAGAGGGTGGCTGAGGGGCAACAGGCTGTTTAGGATATAGCACTTCATCCGGACTTCAAGCATTCTCGATGGGCCATGCTTGGAATCTGTTCGTGACACCGTTGGCAGCACAACTTGGGGAATGCCATGTTCTCCTATGTTCTCCTATTCGTGATAGCCACGTCACCATAAACCCCTTCATAAAGGCTAGATACCGAACACTACACCTGTTCCGATTCGGCAAAGGCTCTTGTCATCGGTGACAACCAGCCACACCTTTGCTAGCAGACGCTGCTAGCTGGCCGATTTGTGGCTCCAGGGTGCGCGACTTAAGCGTTCACGGATGCACTCTCGCACTACTTTCCGCGAATGCTTGGATGTATCTTCAAGCCTATAAACCCTACACCCCAAGCCCCAGAATCCCTCAACCCCTAAACCCCCAAACCCCTAAACCCTAAACAACTAAACCCCCTAAACCCTTAAACCCCTAAACCCCTAAACCCTAAACCCTAAACCCCTAAACCCCTACACCCCTAAACCCTAAAAAGGAACCCTGAAAGACTCCGGGGTCCCGATCGAGCTGCCCAGCCGGAGCCGAAACGGGCACCCGGAGCACCAGCCGCTTCGAACTGGGCCTAGGAGACTTCAGGGATGTTCAGGGTCTAGGGTTTAAGGTTTCAGGGATGCTTAGGGTCACTATAGGGTTTCAGGGTTTCAGGGATGTTCATCAGGGTTTAAAATTTAGGGTTTAGGGCCTCAGGGATGTTCAGGGTTTAGGGTTTAGGGTTTCAGGGATGTTTATCAATGTATCAGGGTTTAAAATTTTGGGCTTAGGGTTTCAGGGATGTTCAGGGTTTCCCGAACTCCTACGCGCTTGCACCCCAAGACCTTCACTTAGCAATACTGCGCTGTAGGACTTTCGTAGCCAGTGGCCTTGAAGTCGTCGAGGGAGCCAAAGGACTCGTCGATGGCCTTTGCCAGCTTGTCCGAAGGTGCACCGCCCTTGCCGGTGGGTGCCATCTCCTGGAGCTGCGAGAGCCAAGCCGGTTTCGGCAAGTCCCGAGGGTCAGGCTTCAGTGCCCTGCTACAGTACAGGAGGTTCAGGCTGCTTAGGGTTCAGCGTCGTGCCGCCTCGATCGGCAGGCTGCGGTGGAAGAATCCGGGGTGCAACGCATCGTCAGTAAACGAAGCGTATGAACATACATGAACTAGCCAAGCCGAGCAATTTGCCAGCCACCACTCTAGAAGACGCTTTAGAGTGAAGGGGCCATGCTGGTACCCAGAACCGTGCTTGGTGAAGCAATCGTGATGCTGGCATCATCCGAGATCCTGGGCCCGAGAACCTCCACCTTTCTTACAGGTTCTTTTGCAGAAGGAGATGCAGGAGTTCAGCTCGATTTCTGCGAGTTGGGTACCCTACATCGTCGAAACCTAAACCTTGTGCTGCTGATGCTCTGGCAATTTTCCCCGTGTCACCTATGCTGCCGATACTCGTGTTCCTACTGTGCTGCTTGCTACCGGTGCTCCTGAGAAGACGACGACTGCTAACACCACGACAACCACTACGACGACTACTGACAGAGAGAAACCCATAGATCGAACGCAATGATGTCATTACAGCAAACGTCTATCCTACGACTTCGATCCCTGGCCCTTCCAACGACACCCGCATGTTCGGCCGGAGTCCAGCCAGAAGAAGTTGTGGTTGTAAGCACCGCCGCCGCTGTTGCGGAACGCCGCACCGTCCTCTCGTCCAACGCTTCAACGAAGGCACTGATGTTTCTCTCGCTATATATTGCTACAAGTTTGTTCTAGTACTACCATCATTTTACTACTGATATTAGTCTGGTTAACTCATGAAATAATCAACTAATTACTATAATTCCTACTGTTGTGATTATTAGTAGCATTATTGTCGTTACTATGATTACTACTATTACTATTATTCTTGTTACTACCATTATTATTTTTCGTCGTAGTCGTAGTCGTAGTCGTAGTCGTCGTCGTCGTCGTCGTCGTAGTAGTAGTAGTAGTAGCAGCAGCAGCAGCAATGTTACTGTGGGACTTTCCATGCTTCTGACTTGCTTGGAGGCCGGCCTTGATGGCCGTCTTCTGCAGCTCGACGAGCGGCGGCTGGGTCTTCCCCTCCAGGGCCTTCGGCCGTTTCTATTTGGGTTAGTGTGGGGTTTAAGGTTTCTATAGGGGTTAGTATGGGAGTTCAATTTGGGTTAGTGTGGGGGTTAGGGCTTAGGGTTTCTATAAGGGTCAGTATGGGAGTTCAATTTGGGTTAGTGTGGGGGTTAGGGCTTGGGGTTTCTATAAGGGTTGGTATGGGGGTTCTATTTGGTTGGTGCGGGGGTTTAGGATTTAGGGTTTCTATAGGGGTTAGTATGGGGGTTTAGGGTGTTGTGGCGATGGAATGTCAAGCGTCTACTGTGCTTAGGCTTACCAGCAGTCTTGCACGACAGCATCACGCACCGTGGCTCGTAGTAGGTTGAGGCAGCTTTGAGGGTTGCATGGGGGCTGATCTCACCTATGAATGATTCCTAGCATTTCCTAGCTTGCAGAATGTGTGACTCGACAGTTCGCAGTCTTGGCGAGCCAGCATCTGCAGTGGACGAGCCTTGTTGATGTTCGTCACGTAGGTCAGGTGATGCTTGTCCTCGGCAGCATGGGCAAGAAATATGGCAAGCTGCTTAAAATCCTGAACCCCTCAGCTTCTAGATCCTAAACCTTATAAGCCCTTCAGATCCCATCGTGTCCTAGCCCGCCAAGCCTCACCACCTAAACACCCACTCCCAGCCCAGCCCCCAAAAAAACGTGGAAAACCCCAGTCCCGCCAACTCCCAGCCCCAGCATGCACCAGCCCAGCCCGCAGCAGTCCCAGTCCAAGACTCGAAAGCAGGTGCAAAAACAAAAAACAATCCGGTCAAAACGTCTTCGGTACCCAAGCCCTCAACAATTTCTACACACCTTAGCCCTAAGACCTAACCTGAAACCCGAAACCCCAGAGCTCAAACCCTAAACCCTAAACCTGAAACCCTAAACCCCAAAGCCCAAACCGGTGCCCAAGGCGCATGGTGGAACTCCATCGTCGCCTTGTCGATGGAGGGCTCCAGTGCATCGTACGCGTAGGGCAGGTCCGGGAGGTCGTAGGCCTTTCGGTTTAGGGTCTAGGGTTTAGGATTTAGGATTTAGGGTTTAGGGGTTTGGGGGTTTAGGGTTCTCGGGTTTGGGGTTTAGGGTTTGGGGATTTAGGGTTTAGGGATTCAGGGCTTAGGGGAACATCGAAAGGGCTTAGGGTTGAGGGTTTTGAGGAACATCTGAAGGTCCTAGGCTCTAGGCCCTTTGTACGGCCCTTTAGGCTTTCGGGCCTATGCCCCCACCCAACTCCAACCATGAAATCATCACTTTCCGAAGGAAAGCTGAGACAGAATATCTGAGAAAGATTTGTCGCATGTTCCGTTTTGAGTTCCCGCCGCAATGCTTCCGAAAAATGGTACATTGTGTAGATGCTGAACATCAGAAACATGCTGCACATCACCACCCCGGTCATCACAGCCATCTTCCCGAATAGCACCATGCTGGTTTCGGATGGTGTTTCACGCTGACCCGACAAGACCCACAACCCCAAGCCCTACACGAGCATCCAAGAAGACTGACACAAAACCCAAAGCCCTAAACCCTGAGAGTGTGACCGCCATCGTTTTAAGCTCCCACTTGTTCTCAAGCCTAAACCCGGCAAAATGCGACGACTAACGCCTTCTTAACCTGCCACAAACCCCCAATCCTGACCCTCACACTCCCCAGCGACGACTGAGTAGTGAAACTGAAAACCTGCACTCTCCACCCCCCCCCCCCTCTGTCCACCCCGGCGCCCGTTAACCCCAAATCCCTAAATCCCTAAACCCTAAACCCCTAAACCCCTAAACCCCTAAATCCTAAACCCTAAACCCCAAACCCTAAATCCTAAACCCCGAAACCCCCTGTTACCCGGGGCACCTGTGCAGACTCCAAGCCGACCAACCCAGCCAGACCCGAGGCCAGACCGGCAGCCAAGTGACGCCTTCGACTCGCCGGGGGGGTTTGTTGAACAGAGGGTTAGGGTTAGGGTTAGGGTTTAGGGTTTAGGGTCCTTGATGATTAGAATAAGGTCGTTTTGAGGGGAGTGGCTTGAAATGCAATCCAAGGGTTACTTTTAGGATGGGCACTTGTTGCGTGGTTTGGCACGTTCTTACCGCTCTATCGACAAGCAGAGAAAACCGAAGCCGAAGCCGACAAACTGTTCCGGGAACTGCGATGTTGAGTGCAGCAAACTCAGTCCAAGACGTGAGCAGCTGGTTGTTCACAACAAGTCCATAAACTGTAAAGCCTGATAAGGACCTACGTCATACATGCACGAGTACATACATACCGACCTACCTACCTACCTACCTACCTACCTACCTACCTACCTACCGACCTACCTACCTACCTACCTACCTGCCTGCCTCCCTGCCTGCC